AGGGCATGAGACCAAGGCTGATCCCATGAGGTCCTCACAGGCAGAGGAGTGTAGGCTTTGGCACGTCTGCATTCGACTCCTGCCAGGCTGCTTCCTGGTGGCCTGTTTTTTCCCTGCTTGGGATGGGCAGAGTATGGAGTATGGGTGGGAAGGATGTTTGACTGTCCTCCCACCCCCACCCCCCCTGCGTCTTCCTGGGCTCTGATAGGTGACTGGAAAGGTCTCAAGCTTGTAGCCAGGCCCCCTCCCGCCCCTTACTGACCCTTAGGAAATTCCTTTAATTCTTCGACCCTAGTTGGCCTCAGCCCTGTAATTTGCTTTTCCGGGCCAGGCATTTGGCTGTGCTCCTTCAGAGGAGGAATGTCTGGGTCAGCAAGAAGATCGCAAATGCTACTTTAGGTTTGCGGGGTGGGGGGTGAGGGGGATGGGGTGGGAAAAGTGTCAATCTCCACCCCATCTCCTTCAACAGTGCCTGTTGCTCTCCCCATAGAGTGATGGTTCCCCTCACTGCAGAGGACCCAGCCACCTCTCTGCATTGTGAGACCTGTATTCTTATGCCCATCAGTTCCCCTCCTATCTTTCCATTCTCCCTCCCCCTCTCTCCGAGACAGCATCTCACTATGAAGCTCTGGCTGGTCTAGAACTTTCTACTTAGACCAGGTTAGTCTCGAACTAGCAGACCTGCCTGCCCCTGTCTCCAAAGTGCTGGGACCATGTCCTACCCAGCTGTCTCTTTTCATTCATCCTTCCCTCAGCTCTCTGGCCTCCAACCATTCCTTCGCTCTGCCTTGTCTCGCACACATCCTTACCCACTCAGTCATTTGCCTGCCCATCAGACTATCCACCCTCCAGTTGACCTCTTTTGTGCTAGTACAATCATCTTTATTCTGTTGGCACATAACTGTTCTCTCACTCTTTCCTTACCCTGCCCCTTCCAGCCATCCTCCTAGTCTTCCCTCCAAAACTCAGTAGTCTGTCCATTCACTTATCCACCCATACGTAGACCTTCCAGTCTGTCATTCCAATCATCCCTCCATTTGCCATTTGCTAACTCATTCATCTACAGACATAGCATCCACCCACCCATTAATTCATCAGTCCAGACTCCACCATATCCACTTGTCTACCCCTTCTTTACCTGTTTGTCTGTCCATCTCTACCCACTCACCTGCCCATCGCTCTGTCACCCATCTGTCCATCCCATATCCTCTGCCTTCCTGTCTGTGATTTACTGTTTCTCTAGTCTCCATCTATACCCTCTTGCCTGGGTCAGCTTGCTTCTGCCTAAGGTTTCTGTGTAATGCCTCTCCTTGCCTATGTAGGTTATGAGATCACAGATGATGCTGGTCACTAACTGCCCTCCGTGTCTGTGGCTCTATGGCTAGATTGTCACTCCTCTTTTTTGATTTTGCTTTTGTTTTTAGACATTCTCTCTCTCTCTTCCTCCCTTCCCCCCATCTTCCTCTCTCTGTGTGTGTATGTGTGTGTACATTGTGTAAGTGTGTGCACTCACATGCCACAGTTCACATATGGAGGTCAAAGGACAAACTTCAGATGTCAGTTCTCAGTGTCCATCTTGTTTATGACCAGGGCTCTCTTGCAGTTTACTAGGCTAGCTAGCCTTGGAGAGCCCCAAGATTCTCCTGTTAGGATCATGCTAGGATTGCTGACATTTGTGCCACTGTGTCTAGCTTTTACATGAATTCTTGGGACCAGAATTTAGGTCTTTAGTTATGTGCAATAAGCTCTTCACTGAGCATCTTCCCAGCCCTGTTTTTGTTTGTTTGTTTACTTGTTTTGACACAGGGCTTTACTGTGCAGTGCTAACTGCCCTTGAACTATGTAGACTAGGCTACCCCCAATCTTGTGATGCTGCTTCTGCCTCTGCCTCTCAAGACCAAGATTATCCTTGTATGCCATCATGCCTGGCAGTTCCTGTTCTTTCGCAGCAGAGTTTTCCAAGTTTAACCTCAGTCCTGACTTTTCCAACTCCCTCCTCCAAGTTCCTGGGTCCTCTGGCTTCATCCTGGTGTTTGGTCACAATGTTTTATGCACATTTAACAGGAACCGTGCAGCTGGATGCTGGGGCCTGGGTCGGGTGTTGTATGGAGCAGTGGTGTGGGTCTTCCCAGGTGAGCAGAGGCTAGAAGGAAAGGCTGGTCAACGCTCATAGCATCTCACTTCCTGACTGTCCCAGGTGATCCCTGGATTCCAGCAGATGCATATTCGATGCCAACCCCTACCCAAGATCTACAGCCCTATGCCCCAGGGAGAAGCATCTTTGAAGCTTCTGTGATCATTTTTTTTTTTTAAAAAATCATGCATTTTGCTTTTCATGACAACATATATTTATTGTTTTTGTTTGTTTGTTTTCTGAGTTTCACTGTGATGCTCTGGTTATCCTAGACCTCACTCTATAGACCAGGCCGACTTCAAACTCATAAAGATCTACTTGCCTCTGTCTCCCAAGTGCTAGGATTAAAGGTGTGTGTAACTATACCCAACATTATAGTTACTCTTTTAATATAGAGATAGCATTTTGACTTACTATCAGAAAAAAAAAAAGCTGGGCTGGGCATGGTGGTACACATCTTTAATCTCATCCCTCAAGGCAGAAGCAGATAGATCCCTGGGAGTTTGAGGTCAACCTGGTCTACACACTGAGTTCCAGGATAACTAGAGGTATAAAGTGAGGTTTGTAACTCAAAAATCCAAAAACAAACAAAGTAAAACCTTGTCCTTTGGGATTCTGGGCCTTGGTCACCTGTGTCGCATGAGTGGCCTCTTTTGGTCTGCCTAGGTGGGTATCCGCAGCCTATGGGGTCAGTACCACATCCAACAGCAGACAGGGTACACAGAGAGAGGCTGGGAAGATGGCAGGGACTCAGCACCATCTCTCTGTTCTCCTATGGGAATTGCCAAGACTCTACCCCTCCCCAGTCTAGCTAGTGTTTGGAGGTATACCCTTGGAAACACAGAGATTTTGCTCTGAGTTATCTGTATTGGGCAGTGGGAAGACCAGCATGGGGTTTGGCCGCTTTCTCATCTTAGCCTCAGAGTTCTGGACCCCTGCCAGCCACATCTATAGAGCCAGTGGGTCTAGAGCCACCCTTCAGAGCAAATCCTTTTGCCCTAGAGCTGTGACATGTTTAGGAGCTGTGACATGTTTAAGGTGCCTTGGGTCTGGGAAGCTGTCTCTGGGCTACAGCCCAGGCTTGGTTATGTCAGATGGGGGTTGGAGGGCACAGGGATGAAACCACGGGTAAGGCAGGAACTGCTGTCTTTACACAAGATGGAAGTAAGCAAACTCTGGTCCACAAGATCAACAGCCCCCTCTGCCTTTGGGTTCTAAAGTTCAGCTTAGGTGAGCTGATGCTTCAGGCAATATAGATAGTTCAAGTGATCAGGCTCCATGACCCACCCCAACCCTTCCTAGGGGAAGCTTCCCCTCCAGGATGGGACCCTCTCCAAGGCTGGCTCGTCATACCCCTGTCAACACCTAGGCCCTTTTGTGTGATGACAGGCTGAGTGCCCCTGCTATGACTATGCCTTCTGTTTCTGCATGCCATGGTGTCCAGAGAGCCCAGTCTGTACCTCCCTTCCTGTTTCTTTCCCTAGTGGTCACCACCTCTCCCAGAAGAAGTTTGGCTAATTTTCCAGGCTATGGTTGACTGAGAGCAGCTCCTCTGCCCACACCAGTGTTTCTGCAGGGTCACAGTCACAGTTTTATTTGTGTGACAGGTGCAGAGGAAATGGACAGCTGTGGGGGCCGGCACTCACGTCTTGCCTTCACTGGGCCTCATTTCCCCCAGCTGTCTTGCTTTTTTACCGCGGAGGTACATGTGTCACCAGTGGGCTGCTGCAGGACTGGCCTTCTGTGGGTGTCACCCAGTACATTCACGGCTTTTCCTTCTCTAAGCTCAGACACTGTCTTGGTCCAGGGGCGAGTGGTCCAGCAGTCTGCTTCAGTGGTTCGTGTGGAGCCAGCTGGGAGCAGGTCCCAAGCAGCACTGGGCTTCAGGCCACACACTGAGGGTGGCGTATGGTTGTACCCCTCCTGCAGCCAAGAGCCAGGATCTGGGCTTTGCATACTTGGCCTACTTTTTGTTGAAAAACAAACACACTGGTCAGCCAGAGAGTGGCAAGGGAAAATGCTGGCTTATCACCGCAAACATCAAGCCCCCTCTCCTTCCCTCCCTTGGAGCCCCGGGAAATAGCCCTGGGCTAGTGTGAGAGCAGGCCTGAGCCTCCCTGAGGGCTGGGCCTCAGATGCTTGGATCAGGTCTCTCTCACACAGGCCAGTTTTAAGCGAGGGAAGTCTGAACTTAATGTAGGTCTGCCAGAACCTCAACCAGGTTTTTATTCAGCCATGAGAAGCAGAGACAACCCTGTCCTGGGTAGAGTGGCTGGGAGTGGAGGCTGGACTCCTGGCCCACAGTCAGTATTTCTAGGGGCTGCACCCTAGAAATACTCACCCCCCACTTCCTTGGTGTCCTGTGTTTGGAGTGGAGTAAGTAACCCCTAACAACCAGCCTGTTGGCTTCTTTGACCTGGCCATAGTGACTGTGTGGCTACTGATGATCCTCACCCTCTGTGGGTCCCTGTAAGACAGGACTGAGGGTGCCATGAGATTGGAACTAGCTGGCAGAATCAGGGACAGTCAGAAGCCTCCAAGATAGCACTTAGCACACCAGCTCTCCTCATCTTTCCTACCAGGCTCAGAGACACCCCTGGGTCATGGCTCAGCTGGGCTTGGCAGGAAGCTGAAGAACCTGGGTCAGAGGCCCAACCTCCCAGGGAGGGAGTTGCCTGCTTCCGGCCAGCCTCAGATTAATGGCTTTTAATTTAGAATTTAATCAATGCAGCTTCCCTCCAGAGAGCTGGATGCTCTGGTCTGGGAGAGAGTCCTGTGATCTGTGAGTAGGGTGCCAGGGGGCCCAGAATGGCCTTACCAGGTTGATGCTCCACCCCACCCTGAGCTTGTTCTGCTTTGCCTGCAGGCGGCTGGCACCCTGGCTATGGAGGACTGCAATGTGCACTCGGCTGCCAGCATTCTGGCCTCGGTGAAGGAACAGGAGGCCCGTTTCGAGCGGCTGACACGGGCACTAGAGCAAGAACGGCGGCATGTTGCCCTGCAGCTGGAGCGTGCTCAGCAGCCTGGCATGAACAGTGGTGGTATGGTGGGCAGTGGGCAGCCCCTGCCAATGGCCTGGCAACAGCTGGTTCTACAGGTAATAGTCTCGGGGAGGGTAAAGACAGCCAGGTGGGGAAACAATTGAGGTCTTGGTGGATCACAGCTAATATGCAGTGACTTGTAGTTCTGCTGGGGCCTGGGTGGGGAAGGAAAGTAGATCCCAAGGAGGTAGAAGCCCCATCTTTCTATGCCAGGCATGGAATGAAGAAAAGAGCAGGACATACCTGACCCTCAGAATCACTGCCCTCCATTGAGTAAGCCTTCAGGGCCTAGGTAGCTGGATTGCATCTGTTTCGGACAGTTCTTTAAGAGTTCCGTGTAACCTCGCAGGGTTCTGCCATCTGCCTACAGTGCAGTGACCTAAAAGCATCAGTTTCTCTGCCGGCCATTGCCCTTACACAGTGTCCATGCCCCAGGTGGGGAGTTCTGTTCCATAGCCAGGGCCTGAGAATGCTAAAGTGGGGGTGTAAGCCAGGCATCACAGTTTCTTGGCCCTTCCCTATACCCTCATGATGCAGGGAGGTCCCAGAATAAGGAAATGCATAGGTTTGGAGTCTTCTATGATTATCAAGGTTTTCATTATGGCTGAAGCTCATTCAGCTACCAGCAGGAAGAAGAGACCATTCCCACCACCCAGAACAGATAGTTGGCCTGCTGTTGTCCTCTGAGCTCCTCAGTTAATGACTATGGATCCTCAGTTTCCGTGTTCAACTACTGTACCCTTAAACTTGGCAGCTGCCCTTCCATGCATTGCGTCTGCTCTCACCACCCTTCTCTAGTCTTCCTGGACCTTCATCCTAGGAAACTATGCCTAGCACACACTTGCTAGAGACCTGAGGAACCCTGGCCCAGTTTAGCCAGAGAGGGAAGGAGGCACTAGGTATGTGAGACTCATAGACAAGCTGCTTGTGTTAGACTGGACATGTTGGGACTGGCCTTTGAGTCTGTCTTTATCTGAGGGCTCTTACATCTATTCACATCTACTCAACCTAAAGTGTAGAACAGTCAGAACCAAAGATCTCCAGATCTTCAAGAGAGCCCAAGCCCATTGGAAGCCAGCTCCCCCCGACCCCCGTGTTTTCTTTTTCAGACAAGATCTTACTATGTAGCCATGACTGACTTCAAACTCACAAGAGATTTGTCGGCTCTGCCCTGTGACTTCTGGGATTAAAGATTTGCCCCACTACATATGGCTGAAGCACCCTTTTTTCAACTACATGGTATTAAGTGGTTTCTGTAAGGCAGAACAGTGAATTAGGACTGAGGGGAGAGGGCCTAGAAGAGTGGACCACACCCATGAGGAGCTTGCTGAATCCAATTCCAGAGCCTAGTTTTCCAGATGGTGAGGCTTGGAGGTTGTAGCTCTGACAGGATGCATGCCTGGTTTACAGGAGACCCTACCATATAAAACCCTGTCCAACCAAATAGTGAATTTCGTACCCTTAACCTTCTAAAGGAAGTAGAACAGCTCATGGGCCACATGAGGTTAGTGGCAGCCACTGACCCCGAGGCTGTTCCTCAGGCCCCAAGGAACTCAATGCAGTCCTCCCAGGACAGAAAAGACTCTGTTCTCCATCTCCGTGACAAGCAGTATGGGAGGATAGACCCAGGACACCCTCAGGGTCAGCGCCCCAGCAGGAAGCTGTTCCCATAGTCTGGAGCTGCTTTCCTCAGGCTGTATCCTGTCCTTACCATTCCACTCTTGACTTTCTTGGCTCTAGTCAGATCTGACAGGCTAATGGGGACATGAAGAGACTCGGGCTGGCCAAGGCCATTGCCTTAATGTTGAATCTTTGTCTATTAATCTCAATGAGAGGTGACCTGGTACCTACTCTGAGGCACAGGTCAGCATAGGTGGTTGAAAACTTGGAGTGGTGGCAAGGCAGGTAGCTGGGGCCTGCAGCCTGGAAGCTATGGGCAAAGACCACAGCCTTGCTCCTTGGGCTGTTCTATGGTTCTTGCTGCCTGGCTTTCATCAGCTGGAGCATTTATTTCATCAGCTGGGGGTGGGGGGTGGGGTGGGGTGGGGCAGCACACCACTATGGCCTGGCAGCTGGGCTACTGTACTTGCCTCAGGCTTAGCCAAAATGGGTTTGTGGCTTGGGCATTCATTAGCAGCTAGAAAATAAACCACAGAAGACAGAGACAGCTTCCACATAAGATCTGGGTTGCATTTCCTCAGTGTGTTCTGTTCACTGGTCTGGGTGACTATGGATGGAGAATGAAGGAGGTCAGAAGTCAGAGCATTCTGTTCTGAGTGAGGAAACTGAGACCAGTGGGCACCTAGCGTGCATGAGCATGTCACATGAGTACAGCACATCATGGAGGCCAGGTGGGGCCTCAGGGCAAATTTCACTTTTCAGATTGGGCTGGGGAGGAGCCAATAGGCAGGGAATCCAACCTGGGCCCCTTTCCTTGCAGTACCCTCCCAGCTTCCCTGTGCTGCCCCCAGCTCTACTGTCTCAAAACTGATTTCCTTATATGTGTCATTGGCATGCTCTGTAGCATAGCAGGCACAAGGATGGCCTCGGTCTCTGCTCCTCCCCTCCTGGTACTTGTTTTCCTCCAGAAGTCAAACTCCCCAGGTGTGGCTGCTGGAAGGCCTAGGGTGGAGTAGGATATGTCTTGGTGGCTCTGATTTCCACAACCCATCATCATCTGTCATCTCCCAATAGACTCAGGGCATGGAGGACAGGGTGTGCAGCCAGCTCTGTTTTCAGGACTTCTGACAAAAGCCCCAGTCCAGATACTTTCTAGCGAAGGGCAATTCCAGGCTTGGCCTTTTGTCCCACTGTGTTATATTGTAATAGCCTTCAAAGGGTGAGAAGATACTGTATTTTGATGGGGAGCTCAAGATACAAACTGTGGGGTCATGCACTAATTAAGCTCTGTAGTGACCTTGGCTTGGAGACCCATGTAGAGTGAGGACATGAGAATTTGCAGCTTGGCCATACCAAAACTATGTCTCGAGGAAAGTAACTCACAGGACAAGTAGCTTGTGCCAGGATGGTAACCCTGCCCCTGGTCTACACCGTGGGACCTCAGTTTACACAACTGTAGAGGTGAACGGGCGTATACACATTCACTGTGGGTAGATTGAGACTTAAGGAGAAAGACTTTGCCAAAGTCTCTTAGTGTGGGAGTGGGGGTGGGGTACCAAACCTAGGGTGTGATGTTGGGAGCCAAGACCTGGAGCTGGCGACCCGGCAGGCCTAGCTGCAGAGTCCCGCCCCAGCCTATGGGGGGCGGAGCCTTGCCCGCCCCGCCTGGGTGCGCCCCGCCCGATTGGCTGCTGGTCGTGGCCGCTGCCAGGTCCGCCTTCACGGGAGCCGAGAGCGAGTCAGTAGAGCTGGAGCGGCCGAGGCGCCCGGGGCCCGCGGTCCAGCTGCCGCCCCCGCCGGCTTGCAGCCTCGAGCCTCGGTCCGATGCCGGCCGAACTCAGACAGGTTGGAAAGAACTCGGTCCCCGCGGGGTGGGGGCGGGAGCGGTGTCCCGCGGCCCCGGCCTACCCGGGAAGACCTGCTTTTGTTTAGGCGAACCGCAAGCCCTCAGCAGCTATTGTCTGCTCTCGAGCCGGCTTTGCTGACCCCGGGGCCAGGAGCGGTGGCGGGAGTGAGCCGCTGCCCTGCGCGGAGGGGGCGTGTGCGAGGACCATGCACGACTGTACAAGGGCTAGAGCCCCGCGTGGGGGCGCAAGCCAGGAGAGCCTGCGCTTGGATCAAGCATGACTCGGGAAGGGTGCACCCCTCGGGCCTTGGGACAGGTGGCGGGGTCGAGGGGGCGGGACACAGGGCCTTCCCAGCGGCCCCTCCCCGAACAGAGAGAGGCCCGCTCCAGCCCAAGGAAGCTGGCGTAGGCCTCTTACTCCCTGGGGTCTCTCTCGCCTCCCCTTCACCCCCCTTCCGCGTACTTTCGCTTACACTCTGGGGACCATGGGGCGGCTTCTGGAGGTTTAATGGAAATCCTCTCTGCCGCGGCATTGCACGTGAGGGGAGGGAAAGGGAGGGGCAGGTGTTGGTACTGCCCACGTGTGGTGGCGGGAGGGGTCTGCCGGCAACCAGCCTATATGCCTTCCAATACTGGTGAGGGGCAGGTGTGCAACCTATATTGTGTTCAGAGAGAGTGGGGCTAATTAATAGGCAGGAAAACCGAGGCTGCATGGAACAGGGACTGCCTAAAAGATTCTTGATGGTAGAAGGGAACTCTGTCACACACCAGATGTGGTCCATAGGTTCTGACCACTGACTGTCCAGGCAGTCGTGGTTTTTATGGTCAGTGTGTCTGAGGTCCGTTATGGTCAGTGTGTCTGAGGTCCGGGCTTAAGGAAAGCTGGAATGGTGACCCTTGGCCCTCTCCCCAGCTTGTTCAGCCCACCACATGTCCCTTGACCTTTTAGCCACTGTCTGGGGCCACACCCTGCCAGACTCACTGCTCCTATGAACAGAGGCTGTGGGCATAAAGGAGGTGGTTTTTGTGGTGACCAAGGGCCTGTCTGGTAGGAGATGCCACCTGACTTGCCCTACATTCTGCCTAGGAGGGCCATGCTGGAGTTCAGAACTCAATCCATCCATCCACTGATAGCTATCTTGTGCCCTCTGGGGACCTGGCCCTGGAGGTGTAGGCTCCAGGCACACATTTCACTCATTTTGTGGTTGATGTATGCCAGCAGGGGCTGCACAGGGAGGGGGTGGTGAATAAAGGCCCATGGTCTGTTCTGCATAATGTAGACTGTAGATGCTCATCCATAAAGTGCATGAGCTGTTGTATTCTAGTACATCTTGGTTTTCTCTCCATGGTCCTGGCATTGGGCATATAGGTAGGATGGGTTCCTGTACCCTTCCCTTCTCTGCATGAGAGAGCTGAACCTCCCACAGGTTTGTGTTCAGCGCTGTGCTGTGGGGCTCCTCTAGGGAGCATGGTGGCTAGGTAGGTCCTCCACGGGCAGGAAGAGCACTAGCAAACCCCAGGCCTGTGCAGCAACTGCTCTCCTGTTCAGGCCTAGTAACTCCAAAGTTTGGAGGATGGATATGGGGTCTGCAAAAGAAGGGATGAGGCTGGAGCCAGGGAGGGAGTGCAATACATAGTTGGCACACACTGTGTTGTGCAGGGCTGTGACAGTATCCAGAAAGGTGCCCATGTCTGGTACTGAGGGGAACAGCCCAGAGTCAGCTGTTAGGCTACGGGGAACGAATGCAGGCTGGTCAGCAGGTATGAAACAAGAGACACTCCACCAGCCTTCACTGCTGAATGTCCATTTAACTGCTTGTCAGCACACCTTTCCACAGATCCACCACAAAGAGATCCCAGAAGCTGAGTCCCAGGATGGCCTTGAGCATCGTACTCCCAAAGGCCTGTTTCTTCATTTGTGCTACCACTGAAAACCCAGCAGTCAGCTGGTGACTGGGTGTCAGTGGCTCCTTCCCTGTGTGTTGGAAGCACATGTCAGGGCTAGTACCAATAAAGGTGCAGAGGGGTGGATGGAAGAGAGGGTGCTTTTGAGAACAGGGGGCATGCGCACACATCAGTGTACTTGTGCCTATGTTCTTGACTGGGAAACTCACGCATGTGCTTATGCTCCTGTCTGAGGGATTCAGAGGCATGTGTTTGTATGAGTCCAGATCCCTGCCTGTATGTGTGCCCAGGCATGTGTAGCTGGCCTGACTTTCTCAGGAACATGGCTGACTTAACACTCCTGCCTGCCTGGGTGAGGTCATTAACTGCTTTTAGCTTCCTGAGGTCATTTGCTAGCAGAGACTCTTGGAAGCTCAGGATCCCTCAGCCCATATGTTAGTGGGTGACTCCTGCATGTTGCCACCCTTTGCTGGATCCCTGTTTCTCCAGACCACTGCAGTCGCTGTGTGTCATATCCCCAGCACAGCCCAGTGCCCTCTCCCCTTCCTTGCTTTACCACCTAGATAGGGAGTAGGGTAGGGTTCTTCTTTGACTGTTTAATATATGTAGATGCATGCAAATCTACAAAGGGGCCCTGTCTCCTGGCAGAATGTCCCAAGCAACTTGTCCCCTTAGCCTTGCTCCTCCCCTGCTTCATATCTAGGAATGTAGCCCCTAGATTCCCCCCTCCAAAAAACAAACAAACAAATAAATAAATAAAAGTAAAACCCAAAAAAACCAAGAGGAAAGAAACAAACAAATAACCCTCTTGACTAGTTCCCCAGGGTTCAGTAGTGAGAGCTAGGGCTTGAAACTCAGTCACCAAATAGAGATGGGACAGCCCAGGCCTCAGCACAGAGCCGTCCCTACTACCCAGTGTCCTTGGAGAAGTGCCCAGGTCACCCATCCTGGCATCTTTACAGTTGTCCCCACATTGGGCCTCATCTATTTCTCTTTCCCAGGGAGCAGGGTCCCCTCTTCCTGGCCAGGTCCCAGCAGACATTCCATCTCATCCCTAGGCTAGGAAAGTAACTGGTAAGACACTGTCCCAAAGAGGTGAGGCAAAGCTCAAAGGATTCTTGTTAAATGGGTCTCTGAGATCCCTCTGCTAGTACCTCTGAAGTGCAAACCTTCTCTCCTCTTAAATCTCCAAGGCCCTGCTCCTGAGGGAGGGAGAGCTCTGCTCTGTGCCTCCACTTTCCCCTTGTTGCCAGAGCCCAGGAGATGTCCTGTCATGCTAGTGTTACGCTCATACCCTTGTCTGTGTCAGGCCAGGAGCTGGCCTGAGAAGGTTTCCTGTCCTCGTGATCTCTGCAGGAAGACCTGTTGTGGGGGCACAGCCTGGCCCCTGCTTAGCACAGCTCCCAGGCCAGGGAAGGGCATTATGGCTCCGGAGGTGGGGGAGATTCAGTAGTCTGAACTACTAATCCTCCCTGGGCCTTGGGTGGGCGAGGCACAGCCTTCTACTGACCTAGCCATGGCTATAAAGAAATGTGTCCCCTCTAACCCGCCCACAGTAGCTTGAGTTCCAATCCCTGTCCAGGCCAGATGCCAACCCCAAGATGCTGATAGGGTGAGGCCCTGGGCCCAGGGCAGACCGTGACTCTCAGATCCACTTGCCACTCTGACCAGCAGGAACTGACCTGTCTTTTTTGGAGTTGGTTACCACACTGGCTAATCTGACTAACACAAGTGAGCCACAGTCCTTACCTGTCTTTCCTGGGATTTCCAAGTCATGCCTCTGTGCAGGGCGGTGGCAAGGCAGGAATCCATGTCTAGTGTCTGATACCATACCTGGTCCCCATGTCCCAAGAGCATTTGGGCCGAAGGAGCAAGGGTATTGTAGCACTGTGGATGCATGCCTGTTGTACTCTAGAAGGTGGGTATCTCGGAACTGTGAGCACTCTTGGCTGATCTTGGCACAGGGTTGTGGGAACTGTGCTGAAACTGTGACTCCAAGCCTTGGCCATCAGGGTTTATGGAGTAGGATGGGGAGGAAGACTGGCCTGAGGAGATAGTGATGTCAGAACATCTTGCAGGACCTTCTTTGTTCCTCTTTAGGCAGAAATCCAAGGCAGAGTCTGTGGGGCATGGAGCTTTGACTTCTGATACCCTTCTCCTAGGAGCAGAGCCCGGGTAGCCAGGCATCGCTGGCCACGATGCCAGAGGCACCTGAGGTGCTGGAGGAGACAGTGACAGTGGAGGAAGACCCTGGCACGCCCACCTCCCATGTGTCCATTGTCACATCAGAAGATGGTACAACCCGGCGCACTGAGACTAAGGTATGGCTGGGCCCAGGCAAGAAGAGGGAAGCTGGGACAACCACAGCCCTCCCTCTGTGGAACAGGCATGTGAGCTGGCCCCCTAAGGACCACTTGCTGTTTGGATAGAGAACCTTGGCACTGTCCACCATGCCCATATGCTACTTTCTTACCCATCAGGTCACCAAGACAGTCAAGACTGTGACCACAAGGACAGTACGCCAGGTACCTTTGGGCCCAGATGGACTCCCCTTGCTGGACGGTGGCCCCTCACTTGGCTCTTTTACTGATGGGCCCCTGGATCGTCATTTCCTTCTGCGTGGTGGTGGCCCAGCAGCCACACTCTCCCGAGCCTACCTCAGCAGCGGAGGTGGCTTTCCTGATGGCCCCGAGCCCCGTGATATCCCAAGCTATGGCAGCCTGTCCCGAGGGCTTGGGGTACGGCCTCCGCGTACTGGTCTCTTGGGCCCGGGGTCTGGTGATGGTTGCTTTACACTGCCTGGCCGCCGTGAAGCCTTCCCCATGGGCTCTGAGCCTGGACCACCAAGTGGCCGTTCTCTGCCTGAGCACTTCCAAGCAGAGCCATATGGCCTTGAGGATGATACACGGAGCCTGGCTGCCGATGATGAAGGTGGCCCTGACCTGGAGCCTGACTATGGCACAGCAGCAAGGAGGAGACCTGAGTATGGGCGGGGCCTTCGCGCCAGGTGAGCACCTGTTGCTTGTGATTGCCTCTTCTGGGGATTCTGCCTTCCACTTCCCGGCTACAGAGTATCCCACAGGTCAGCAGGCTACATTTCAGTTAGAACTGGCTTCATCTCTTCTCAGGAACAGGCCTGGGATGATAAGCAGTTAGCTTGTGTCGCTGCCTGAAGCTGGCTCTGTCCTAATAGCCAGCTGCCCATGAAGACCCAGGCTTCAGATGCTTATGGTCTGACTCTGCTTGAGGCCTCTGATGTTTCTATGCCGGAGTCTCCACCATACACCCTAGCTGAGACCCAGAGGCTCGGTCCTTCTTGTCATGGCCCTTGATCCCACTCTTTATGCCCTTCCCATGTTATATCTGTAACATGGAAACATGACCACAACCTGAGTCTAGAGTTGGCTTTGTGACTCTGGGCAAATTACCTGACCTTCCTAACCTCAACCCCTTCCTTGAGAAGTGAGCTTGAGAGTTCTTAGGGCAACTGAGAGCCAAAGACATGCCTCATCAGATGGTCTGACTGGAGTGGCCATTCTCGGGGAGGATATTCTACCCTTTACATGCTGGTATAGTGAGCTGATGTTACAGAAAGGAGGTGAGGTTCCTGCCCTGTCACTGACAGATGCCACATCAAGCCACATTAAGCCATGGTTAAGTAACACTGTTAATGAGTGGACATTCCTGAGGGATGTAAGTCCATTAATGGCTGCATTTGTCTGTAACCCTGACCTTGCACTGACTGGGCTGGGGTAGAATTCTTGGTGTCCACACTGTGTTTGGAGCTGAGATACAAAATGCTGTCAGTTCCTCTTAGCAGAGAATTCCAGACCCCTGAACAGGGTAGGGGGTAGGGCTACTGACGACTGTGAAGGTGTTGACAGGACCTGCTCACCCCCGCACAGGGCCTTTGAGGACACAGCAGATGATGCTGGTGAACTGATAGAGGAGCGGCCTCCATTCTCAGCAGCAACGGCTCCTCTGGCCCAGCCTGAGAGGGGCAGCCTGGGTAGCTTGGACCGAGTAGTGCGGCGCTCGCCTTCAGTGGATAGTGCCCGCAAGGAGCCACGCTGGCGGGACCCTGAGCTGCCAGAGGTGCTGGCCATGCTGCGGCACCCTGTGGACCCTGTGAAAGCCAATGCAGCAGCCTACCTGCAGCATCTCTGTTTTGAGAACGAGGGCATCAAGCGGCGAGTGCGGCAGCTGCGTGGGCTGCCTCTGCTGGTGGCATTATTAGATCACCCTCGGGCTGAGGTTCGGCGTCGGGCCTGTGGGGCGCTGCGCAACCTCTCCTATGGTCGTGATGCTGACAACAAGGCTGCCATCCGGGACTGTGGGGGTGTGCCAGCCCTGGTGCGCCTGCTGCGGGCTGCCCGTGACAATGAGGTCCGTGAGCTGGTCACTGGTGAGTGGGCCTTGGCCATGGCCGATAAGAGCATGGCTTAGCCTGTAAGTGGGGAAACAGAAGTATAGCAGACCCAGGTGCTGGGATGGGTCCCCAACTCTCAGTCGCGGGATTGCTGGCACCAGACCCCACCTCCCTGCTCCCTTACCTGTGTAAGTACAAGATAGAGCTTGTGCTGTGAAGAGCTTGGGGGGGGGGGTCACAGGGCCAAATCACAACCCTTTGGTGTTAGGAGCATTTGCCAGTCCACCCGCTCATGTGGCAGGGACTGGATGGGATAAACTGTCACTGGCTATGCCTCTCTTATAATTTGTCCCTTCCCTGTTAGCTGAAAGCTACCATTAGGTGCTGCCAGTACATCTTGCCTAGGCTCTGTGGGGCCCTTGAACCTCTTACAACTTTTACTGCTTCTAACTCTTACTGAGTGAGCTGGGTGTCACTCAGTGGCAGTGCTTGCCTAATGTGCACAGGCCCTAGGTGCCATCCCTGGCACAACCTAAGAAACAAAAACCTAATGGCAGCTATGTTAGCGTCATGTGCCTGCTGGAGGACAAGGAGGGAAAGATCACAAGTGTCATCCCTGGGGAGGCCAAGGCAGGAGGGCCATGGTCAACAGTATTGACTAGTGGCACATTACAGGCACACTCTGGAACCTGTCATCCTATGAGCCCCTGAAGATGGTCATCATTGACCACGGCTTACAGACGCTGACCCATGAGGTCATCGTGCCCCACTCAGGCTGGGAGCGAGAGCCTAATGAAGACTCGAAGCCCCGGGATGCCGAGTGGACAACAGTCTTCAAGAACACATCAGGCTGCCTGAGGTGTGGGCAGGGGTGGGGCATAGGCCAGATCTGCAGGGTGTCAGGAGCTGCCATGCTCACAGCCCAACTTGTCCAATCTTAGGAGCTTTGAACCACATCCTAAGTCTCTGGGCTTTCCAGTGGCATTGTCCTCGCACCCACAGACAAACTCCTAAGTCTCTGAAGCCCTGCTTGTCTGTCAGTTTGATACCACCATGACCCTGCAAGGTCCTGGTATTGATGCAATGGGGCAGATTTGCCTGCATATCATGGATTCTGGCCTCTTGGGGCCCATCTCTATCCTATTCCAAGCCAACTGGGAGCCAGGGAATCTACTTTCTCCCCCACAGATACAAGGCCCCACTGCCCAGGGCAGTCAGGTCACCCTGTTCTCTTTCACTGTGATCCAGAGGACCCATTGTGCAGATGAAAGCCACTGAGGCCTAATGGGCTGGGGAGTTCCGTGGGGGCAAGAATAGGGATCATTGGTGGTCCTGCTCCCTTCCACCCAGGAATGTGAGCTCGGATGGTGCAGAAGCCCGGCGACGACTCCGCGAGTGTGAAGGGCTGGTGGACGCACTCCTGCATGCCCTGCAGTCCGCTGTGGGCAGGAAGGACACAGACAATAAGGTGGGTGGGACAGATGGAAGCAGCCTTCCTTTCAAGTTCTCAGAGCCCAAGGGCCACAGGAACAGGACCCAAGGGTGTGGGAGCTCCCTAGAATGGCAGTGGGAGCAGGTAGTAATTACCCAGGGCAGGGGATATGGTCCCTCAGGCAGTTCCCCCAGCTTAGACTGACAGCGCCTTGTCCAGTGTCCCAACCAGGCCACCTCTTCCCACAGTCAGTAGAGAACTGCGTGTGCATCATGCGGAACCTGTCCTACCACGTGCACAAGGAGGTTCCAGGAGCTGACAGGTACCAGGAACCCGAGCCTGGGATCCAGGGCAGTGCTACAGCCTCTCAGCATCGGAGGAAGGATGAAGCCAGCTGCTTTGGTGGCAAAAAGGCCAAAGGTGGGTGGGTGAGCCTGGGATATATCTCATTCCCACTGGTCCCAGGGCTCAGGGCTTTCCATGTCCACGGCAGGTGTTCCTGGAGGCTAGAAGACATCCAGTCAGCCCCCATGGGCATGCACAAAGTTGGGAAAGGTGCAGACCCAAGGCCCAACCTTAATCCTTTTCTGTGGGCCATGGTGTAGTATCTACTTTTGTCTTTCTACTCTTGGGAAGGATTCTGAGGGGCCACAAAGGACACTGCCTGGCTGTTCACACAACTGCCTGTAATCATCCCCCTTTCCTCCACTTGGACAGGGACCCTTAGCACCTGCAAGGTACAGGTGTCGGGTACCTGCATCCTCCAGCAGTGGCAGTGGGACAGGCGTACTTCCTTCACCTGCCGCTGACCATAGGTCTTCCCTGTGCCTTATGGATACTGAGCCCCCAGAATTCCTGGAATGAGGTTGCACAGCTAGCTTGCTTGCTTGGCCTGGCATGGGTGGGAGTACGAGTCATGGGAGGGTACTGCTGCTGAGGCTCATCTCCTCTTTCCTGTGCTTCCTCCGGCCGCCCAGAGGAGTGGTTCCAAGGTGAGTCCCTGCTTGTTCTGCTGTCCAGGTCTGGCAAGTGCAGTGGGCAACAGAGTGACATTCATGTTCCCTAAGCTCAGACAGTTATTTCCATGACAACTATAGGGCAGCTGGGATGCCTTCCAGCCTCCAGGCCCTGCCCCACCCCCAGTCCCCTGGAAGGGCAGCCATCTCCATGACAACAGCATAGACATGACAGAGGCTGGAATGCTGGCTCTGGACTGGTGGGAGGCCCAGGGGCTGCTGCTTACAAAGTCAGAACAAACTACCAAGGCAGCACTGGGACACAGCAAACAGTGGGCAGGGTCCAGGGAGTGGCCAGCACCAGGGGACCATCTGCCCCTCTGATGAAGTGGGTGATAGGTGGCACAGAAGTACTATCAGGTAAGCAGGGCAAGGGGTACCAGGTCATCTGCAGTGGATTGCTGCCTGCTAGAGCTCCTTCAGCTCTAGAAGGGGCTAAGAGTTCAATTAGCGTCTATAGGGCTCAGCCTAGATACGGTTATCCTTCAGTACAGTAAAGATTGGCCCAGTCCTGCTGCATTGTAGCTTAGCATGCTGTGTCACTGACCCTGATGAGAGGCGAGGTCTAGGTACTCAGGCCATTGCTAGGCTCCACTGCCACCAATGTCCTGGGCCAGCCTGCTTCCTTACTCTGAGGACAGAACAACTCTGCCAGGGTATTCTTAGTACCCAGCCCCCTATACACTTGTCCCTCATGGATGTACCCCTCAGTGCCTACCACCCTTCTCTTCCAGGGAAGAAGGATGGAGAGATGGACCGGAACTTTGACACACTGGACCTGCCCAAACGTACTGAGGCTGCCAAAGGTGAATGGGTAAAGAGGCAGAGCTGGGGAGCCTGGGGCCTGTGCTGGCGAGGGGTCAAGGCTTTGTGCCATTGAGCAGGCCTAGAAGACTGGGCTGGAGGGTCAGATTAACAAACAACCTCATTCATCAGTATTCAGTTTTCTAAAGAATGGTTGGGGCTTGACACGGCCTGAGGGTTCAGTCAGTGTGCACAGGTGTTTATCAGGTAAACTTTCACAGTCTCAGCAAGTGAGGTGGATTGGAGGGACACTGGCGGTGACTCAGTCATATTACTTGTAGAGGGTATGACCCAGGGGTCAAGGTCTGAAGATGGGTTTCTGCAGTCCAGGGTGGATCACCCCTGCTGTCTGTTATGTCTGCTGGACTTCAGTGTGCACTGACATTGTGCTTTGCACTGGGAACTGACGGTAGTGAGAGAAAAGATTACCTTGGTGGGGCCCAGGATATCAGAAGAACCCAGATGCCCAGAGAACTGAGATATGGAAGAGCTCAGGCCCAGTAGCCAGCCTGTGTAGATGCCCTGAGAGGATAATGTGTCTGGAGAACTTGGGAAGCAGGAGACCCAGCAGGCTGGAGTGGAGGGAGAATGGGCACGAGGGGAAGGGAAGAGGCGAGATGCGATGTGGGGTGTGGGAGTAATGTCCTGGGCTAGGGAGATGCTCTGGTCTCACACAGACAGGCTTGAAGCCATCTTAGCTTGTATCCTTGAGGCCTTCTGCTGGACACCTTGCTGCCAGGCTGGGACTCAGTTGCTGGGGAGCCTGGAATGGTTGCCTGGGATGCAGGGGTCCTAACTATACAGTCTATTACTTACTAGTGAAAGTGGCCCCTATTGTCAGAGAGGGTAGGTGAGCCTTGTGTTTAGGGGTGTTGCCCTGTCACACCCAGGGAAGGTGAGTTCTGTTGCTAAAGAAGTAGCCCAGTGCCCATCTCCCTCTACCATCCCTCCTGGATGTGCAGGCTACCAGCTGAGCCCAGTACCATTTCTTTGCAAGCAGGGTTAAGGAAGGAATACCCACTCTGCCTTCTGGCTGAATGGGACACTAATTGATATTAAACATGACTGGACTGTTCAGTATCCGCCCCTGCAGCCTACCCTAGCTTCGGAAAAATAAATAAGAAGGGGCTGCAGGAGCGGGGAGTTACACCTTGACGGGCTGCCATTGCCTTGTGTCTAGGCTTTGAGCTGCTATACCAGCCCGAGGTGGTACGTCTCTACCTCTCACTCCTTACGGAGAGCCGGAACTTCAACACCCTGGAAGCTGCAGCTGGTGCCCTGCAAAACCTAAGTGCTGGCAACTGGACGGTGAGGAGTCAGGTCGGCAGGGAGGGCAAGACCTGGATAGGGGAATTCTAGACACCCTACTGGTTCTGCCTTGAGCCCTTACCTCCATCTGGGCCAGTAGGAGGAGAGGGGACAGCACATCCTCAGGGTCAGGTGGCTCTGAGCACTGTGCCCTGGCCAGTGTGGTTGGTGTGGAGTTGTGCAAGGTAACTCCCCTCTGAGTAGTCACCTCGTGTGCCACCCTCACAGTGGGCCACATATATCCGTGCCACAGTACGCAAGGAACGTGGGCTGCCGGTGCTGGTGGAATTGCTACAGTCTGAGACTGACAAGGTGGTGCGTGCTGTCGCCATTGCATTGCGCAACCTTTCACTCGACCAGCGTAACAAAGACCTAATTGGTGAGGATGCTGATGGGTCTGACCCAGGGCTTGTGAAGGGGGACTGGTGTTGGGGACAGGTTGTTGGAGGATGGGCCCATGTGATTGGGCTGGTCTTATGTTGGACTGTGGGAGCTTAAGTCTTCCTCTCCCAGTCCTTGAGGCTCAACCTTTTAAAAGCCCTAGAGGTTGTGGCAGTCCTGGTAATATCTTCTGTCTGAATACTGTTCCTTCCCCCAGGGGTAGGGCAGAGATGTGTCCTAACATCTGACCCCACCTTTAGGGAGCTATGCCATGACAGAGCTGGTGCGGAATGTTCGCAATGCACAGGCACCTACGCACCCTAGTGCCCACCTGGAGGAGGATACGGTGGTAGCTGTGCTCAACACCATCCATGAGATTGTGTCCGATAGCCTGGACAATGCTCGTTCCCTCCTGCAGGCCCGTGGTGTGCCTGCACTGGTGGCACTTGTGGCCTCCAGGTGGGTGAGAGCAGGGTCTGCTGAGGGCGGGGTGGGCTTGGGAGGGGTGGAGGGAGACTGTAAGAGGTAGACCACTGACCCCAACCCTGGCTGCTGCTTGCTGCAGCCAGTCTGTGCGGGAGGCCAAGGCTGCATCGCACGTGCTACAGACTGTGTGGAGCTACAAGGAGCTGCGAGGAGCCCTACAGAAGGATGGCTGGAATAAGACACGCTTCCAGGTGCAGCTGCCCCGCCTTCTCTGTCACTTTGCCAGGTCTGCCCCAAGCAGGAGTGTCATGGGCCTTACCTCTTATTTGTGTTTTGTGCCTCCTTAGTCTGCTAGCACTGCCAAAGGACACAAAGGAACACCAAGCCCTGGGGGCTTTGATGACAGCACACTGCCACTGGTGGACAAGAACCCTGGTGAGCACAAGCTGGGGAGGAGGACACTGAACTTATCCCTGAAGCTTAGGAGTAGCTCCCATCTGCTAATGCACAAGGTCGGTGGGGTTGGGGAGACAGGGCTGTCCTGTTAAGATGGCTCAGTGCTTGAGGCTTTTCATGCAGTCAGCCTCCTGGGAACTCGTCTTCCTGGCTGCCCAGGAAGCCAGGGTGGTGGCAGCAGGCAGAGACTGGAAAGGAGTGCTAAGTGTTAAGTCACTGAGGACTGTCCTGTGGCAAGCTTGTCTGCACTGCCCTCCCTATGCCTGCCCACTGCTCACAGATAGACACTGCTCATGCCTTGCAGATGGGGAGAAGTCAGCCCCCCGAGATGTGATCCTCATGGATACACTTGGTCCAGGTAAGTGCAGGTGTGCAGGGAAGAGGGCTGGGAAGATAAAATGGTAAAATGTCTTTTTTTTTTTTTTATGTGGGGAGGTAGTGTGGAGGCCTCAGGGCTGGTTGGATCTGGCACTGAGATCCAAAGTCCCCTGTCCCAGGATTTTCTGATCTGGACTGAAAGATCACCTGTCCCTGTGGTGCCTTCCCCAGGGCTCCCTCATTCCCTGCTCTGTTCCATTCTACAGATGGGTATGCCACAGTTGACCGGAGGGAACGGAGGACACTGGGCAGTGACTCCACAGGAGAGACCTCAGAGAAGGAACTGTTGAAAGTGAGTGACAGTGAGCAAGTACCCAGAGAGGCTATATGTTTGGGGCTTGTCAAGAGAACAGCCATGTAGTGCTAAGTTTGATCAGGGCTCTGGAACGTGGCTGGGGTGGCACTCACTTGCAAGACCCAGAAAGTAGCCCATACATCAGTGGACTGTGGTACTGAGGGGTTCAGTGCAAACACCTGCACAAAGGAATGGACAGGGCAGCTCTGCCTGGTCACTGGCTGCACAGGACCAAAGTCTGAGCAAGTGGATCTGTACCTTTCTCTTATGTGTGTGGGGGGCAGGGTATCCACTGTGGTCCCCTGGAAAGGAAAGCGTCTGCCACCTACTTTGTGCCAGTATCCTGGCTTCATGTACCAGCCTCTGGTATATCCATGTGCCACCCATACGGAGTGTGAGCCACCCTAGTTCCAGAGTGTCACTTCCCTGTACTGCCTGGCAGGCCCACCTTATATCATACCCCTTCCTTGTCCACATCGACCAGCCTAGCCTGCCCTTAGTTGCAGTTAACCTGCTTTTTTTTCCTGCTTCTAACTTCTGTCTGCCTACTTGCCATGCACTACAGCCCGACCCTGGCAGGAAGGCCCCTCCGCCTGGGCCCAGCAGGCCCTCGGTCAGGCTGGTGGACGCCGTGGGGGATGCTAAGCCTCAGCCTGTTGACTCCTGGGTCTAGCTTGCATGCCTGGTATGTTCCTTCATTTGGTTGGTTTTCCCATCCGAGGACTGGGGCTTCTTGTCTGTTTCTGCTTGCTGCTTGTCTGAGCTCCCTGTGTGAGCCCTGGCAGGACCCAGGAGGACTCTCCCAGAGCTCACAGGCCTGTTCCTGCCTCCAGAGATCAGGGTCCTGAGGAGACATGCCCTCTATTTCCTCAAATACCCCTATCACAGGACCCTTTGAAGACCAGTTAAACAGGACTGGCCCTATTGTCAAGGCTCTTGGCATGGCCCACCCTTCAATCCACAGCCACTGCTTCTGTGTGGCCTCTGCAGGCAGCTGCCCTGTGTGGAGGCTCCCAAGTCACCCTGCTACGTTTTGCTGGCTCTGTTGCCTCTCTGGGTTCCCAACTACAGCATCTGTCTTTGTCTTCTTTTGCAGGGCCCTGGCCCAGCTGTTTGTTCTTAGGGATCACATCGCAATAGTTGGAAGGGCCATCTTGAGCAGAGCCAATCCTGGAGCCGGGAGTCCCACCCCTATGTGGCGGGTTGGCTAAACCTCCTGTCCCACGCCAGGGCCTGACTTTATGAATATCCCTTCTGTTGTACCCTCCCCTCCCATCCACTCTCCTGATCTAACTCTCCAGGCCTGAGTTAGCTGTTTACTGACATGGTGCTGTGTAGTGGGAGAGAGGGGTGGGGGTCCCCACACACAGTGCCACAGAAGAGCAAATAGAGCCTGGAGTGGAGGTCCTGGAGCAAGCAGTGGGACAGTTGGGGAGGGGGGGATTTGGAAAGAACTTGGGCTAAGGGTGGCTGGAGTACTACCGTGCATGCAGGCTGACCACAGTGAGGGCTGCTCCAAGAGAGTCCAGGCAGGGACGTTTAGGAGGCAGACAACTTGGGGGGCAAGCTGTGCCTGCCCCCAGCCCCTGTCCTTGGATTCTTAGGACATCTTCCCTCTGCTGTGTACTCCTCCTGAGCTGCCTGTGGCTGGGGCCACTCTGGCTGTTGCATCTGCATCTGCCTAGAACCTCAAGTAACCTCGGGGCCTGAGTGCCAGCAGTAGCAGGGAACTGCTCTTCAGTGCCTGCTGTTTGGGACTTAACAATGAAGAAAACTGACACAAAGCATTCAAAATGAAACCAAAATAAGACTGTATCAGCAAACATTGAAAATTTTGTAAGAAAATTTAAAGATTAAAAAGAAGCAAAGAAACTGCCTGTCTTCTGACTCAGCTCACTAAAGCAGCGGGCACCTCCGACTACAGTTATACCACTGGGTTAACTGAGCCACTGCTGCCACCTAGCGACGACATAGTTTCCTGAAGTCCCCTTGCAGTGGGGGTGGGGTGGGGGAAGGCTTACTTCTATCTACCTTGGCTCCTTTGGCACCCCCAGCCCAGGAGAGACACAGGTGGGATCAGCTGAAGTGGGGTTGATCTTTGTGTCAGATCCTGGAAACAGGCCCCTTCTGAGGTATTGAGGAACCTCTTGGAAGAGTAGGTGAGGGCTAAGGCAACTGTAGCTGTGGGTTTCTCAGCAGCTGGGTACCTAGCAGACATGTCCTGTGGTCTGAGCCCACCTCCTCTTCTGTAAACCAGCAGGACTGGAGAGACTGAGTGCCACACGTGGGTTGAGAGCAGCAGGGACAGCATGGCCACACAGCTTCCTGTCCCCAGTGTCTGCTAGCCAAAGATGGGGCAAAGATGTGTGCCATGTGCATCAGGTAAGAGAGCAGTATAGTAGTTGAGAAGAATAACTGTCAGTGGATCTTTTGTATCCAAATATTCAGAGCTTTAATTTCTTTTATGATAAAAGATCACAGAATAACTAAAAAGCAGGTTATAACTTGTTTTTTTTTTTTCTTTTGCCTTGGCTGTCTTAGAACTCACTGGTGTGTAGACCAGGCTGGCCTTGAACTCAGAGATCTGCCTGCCTTGCCTCCTGGGTGCTGGGATTAAAGACATGCACCAGTACACCTGGAAAGTTTATGACTCATTCTTAAGATGGACTGTGGTATGGGTTGCTGGTAACAGTGCAGTCATAGGCATTGCTGCCATTTGGTGACAGCCAGACAGCATCTGGATATTTCCAATTTCCTGACTTCTTGCTTGGCCTAATTGGTGATGGCAGTGCCTACGCATCTGGCCCTGTCTCATAGGTGAACCTGCTGGCCCTGTCTCATAGGTGAACCAGCAGGATTACACCTGCTTTGACTTTTTTTTTTTTTAATCCCGTATTTTCTGGCATTTAGGATTAAACTTGAGGCCTCTTACATGCTGGGCAGGTACTGTGAGCCTCCATTCAGCCTTTTCTCCACAGGTGCTTTCCCGATTTCCTGTAGTGGTTTTAGACAGCGAGCTCATACCTTTCGAGTGTCCTCGACAGCAGCTGAGGACAGGCTCCAGAAGCATAGAGGGGTCAGCATGAGTGAGTGTCATCTAGCAGAAGGAAGCTGGAAGGGGATCTCAGGGCAGGCTAAGTGGTCAGTGCTTCATGAGCTGCTTGGACCCTGGTAGATTGCCTTCTCCAGGCCGTCTACCACTTTCATGTACTCCAGGAATGAGCTGTAGTGTGTGCATTCGAATTTGTTGTTCCCCCTCACGTATTCCAGGAAGTCGGGGGCTCCTGGGACAATGACATTGTCAGCTAGAAGCACCGTCCCCTTGCGCAACAGGCCATGTTCCTGCAGGGGACAGACAGACGGGGTCATGAATGCTTGGCAAACCCATTGCAATCCAGAGGCAGCTGCTGCCCCATGGAGTCACTGCCAACTACTAGCCATTCTCCCCTGTATCCATCCCCAGCATGTGGGCAACACCAGTTTGTAGGCTGGCTGAGAGGAGAGATGGTGGGACCATACACTCTGTGCCAAAAATAACGGGGTCTTCCCAACAACCCTAACCTTTAAGATCTGTTCTGGACTTTCCACTTGGACCAGGGAAGACACTAGGTGCCCGAGAAACCTCACACGGAGGGTGCTTGTCTATCTACTCTGGCAAGCATGTCTGCTGACAGCGTATAAGTAACTGGAAATACCTGACAAGGAAGTACCTTGTATGTGTTGGGGATGGGGGTGAGGAGCAGGAAATGGAACATCTGGATGTCTTATTTGAAGGTTGCCCAGAAGCTAAGAGGTTTGTTTTTAACATACTCATGAAACAAAAGTTAAATCAGTCCTGTCTGTGGCCCACATCTGTAACCTCAGCATTCAGGAGGCTGAGGCAAGAGGATTAAAAGTTCCAGGCAAGCCTGGGCAATATAAGACATTTGTCTTCAAACACATACAGACAACGCAACCAAAAATGGAAAGTAAAATCCAGTAAAGAGTCAGGGCTGAAGTGTAGCTCAGTGAGAAGAGCACTGTCTAGCCTGCGTGACCCAAGGTTCTGCTCCCAGCACCACACACACAAAAGAAAAGTCTCTCCACCATCCTAATGCAAGGCAGTCTGTGCTCTAACTGTCGTCCAGGGCTCCGGCTGGTCCCAGTGCTTGTGGGGGTGGACATCTCCAGCCTGTGGCTGTGAGAGAGCTGAGGCCAGTCGGTAAATTCAGGGATGGTCTTGTGCGCTACAATGTGAGTGAGTTTTACTGTGAATCAACACATTCTTGCTTAGAAAGCAGAAAACAGAATGTCAAGTCAGCACTGGCTGGAAAGACCTCGGTGTAGAGCTGCTCTGGAGGAAGGCATCTACCCAGTCCAGAATGGGGCCCTGCAGTTAGAAACAAGCTGAGTAGGGAGTTTTCCAGGCTCGGCCAGGGACTGAAACATCGAGAGTCACATGTTGACTGTCAGTAAGACTAATGACGTCAAGACAAAAACTTCCTGATTCCATAATGATAGGAAGGAATACAGGCACTTCTGGAAACATGCCCTGTCGGGGCAAAGGCTGTCCTGTCTGTATTCAAGTACCAAGGGCCTCCTGAGAGATACCTCGGGCCACCTGGGGAATTGCTCCTACGCTGAGGAGACTGGAGTGCAGAAGACTATAGATAAGATGTTTGAGAAAAGGGTTCCATCACGTAACCTAGGCTGGCTGCAAACATGATCCTCCTGCCTTCAGGAGGGGATTATATGTGTGCACCACTAAGCCTGGTGTTATGATCACCATTCTTAAAGGTTTGTCCTCTGGGCTCAGTTCTCTACAACCATACACTGAAGAAGGAAAAGCGCAGCCACTCCCAGTGCACGCCTCTCTTCTGGAGCTAACTGCCCGCTTTGAGCAGCAGTATGAAGAAACATTGGTTTCTTAGTTGCTGAACAGCAGTATTAGCTGCTTTTCTAAAAGCAGGCCCTGTATTATCACACACAGAAAGCTGCAGGGATCCACTCCCTGCACTGTGGCCTGGCTCTCCTGTCAGATGGGGCCTGACGGCTCGCTCAGCTGCCTGTTGTCTGTAACCTCGTGTTTGCAGTGTCTGCCAGGGTGGGCCCCTGTCCAAACCAGCTTCCCATGGTTGGCCTGGCCTGCTGGTCTCCTTTCTATCCCGACTGCCTGCCCTCTTGTTAGAAACAGATTCTCTGGTACAATTTCCTGGTCCTGCTATATCCCTATCTCCTACCGTAGTGCTCAGCACTTGCAAAACAGTTTGAAGGACCTCTGAAATAGCTTCCTATTTCCCCTTCCATGCCTCCACAAGGGCAACCAAAGTCCTTTTAGATGCCAGGACTCATCATCCCTACCCCACAGCTCATGCCAGACTTTTCCTCTGTGCCCTTGCAGTCTCCGAACTATGCCCAAGCCTCACATTCTAGACTCCACTGTACATGACAGGGTGTACAACTCGAGACAGCTGTGGACGGGCAACACCACATGGACAACCCCCTCTTGGCTGTGGAAGGCTGTGAAGAAAAAGTCACAGAGCCTTGAGCTCTAGTCACTCGGGAGTGGGGATGGCTCCTCAAGTCATCACTGGGGGTCTTTGCTAGGTGAAGCTGGCTAAGCAGCAGTGCTGAGGATTGGAAGGGGCTAGGGAGAGTGGAATTGTATAGCAGAAGCTTCAGGAAGATCTAGGACATGCTTGCTATCTCTGGCCAGCCCAGCTGACTCCCAGTCAGACCCATGCTCCCTTGGGTACTCAGCCCTGTGTCTTTCAGGCCCAGGTGTTCTATTCTCTGGTACCCATCTCACTCCCTAGCAGAACCCTGCTTGCAGGGCAGGGAATCCCTTACCTGGTCCTCCTTTCTTTCCACCTCTATCTGCCACAAGGTCATTGCAGTGTACTGACAGTTTGGGAAGACTGTCCCTGGGCCCATCTATGCCCTAGGGAGGCCACCCCCAGCAGGCCTCTTCAGAGAGGCCAAGGACTAGTTACCCCACAGCACAGAAGCCATTTTGCCAAGCAGGGGCAGCTCAGCTCACCTCCAGGAGATGTGTGTCTGGCAGGTAGCGTTCTTTCCAGTGGTCAAGAAAGACCATGTCAAATGTGTCCACATCGTATTTCGTCTTCAGCTGCGGGATGAGGTTCTGGGATGCCCCAAGGAGGATGGTGACCTGGAACAGTGCTCAGTCAGTGCTGCCTACAGGGATATGCAGGAGCCTGCCTGGACCCCATGTGTATATACATCAATTTCTCTGGGGCTCTGGAAAGGAGTCTCCTTGGTGTAGTCTCCCCTGGGGCAGCCCTGGGAGTTTCTGGCTCTGTAGGAACATGTCCCTAACCTGCTGGGGTTCCTTCCTTGACATGGCAGGTGCTTAGTGATTGAACCAAGCACCTCACCCTCTCCCCCTGCTCAGCTCTCCCAGCCACAGCTGCCACACCGGTTATAGGGTCATACTTTGTCCTGCAGGCCTGCAAAATTCAGCATTTGCTGGGTGATGGCGGCATGGTCAGGGTTCATCTCCATGGTGAGAAGCCTGCCTCCAGGTGGCAGCAGGCGGGCTATCCGCATGGCTGAGTAGCCACAGTAAGCTCCTAGCTCCAACACCAGTGAGGGCTTGTACTCCCGAACCACTGCATCCATGATTTGGCCTAGAGGGTGGTGAGGAAGATATGAATACAGGCAGAAGGGAAACTCACCCTCCAGTTCAGGGGCTCACCCCTCTCCAGACCATTAGCAGTCCCACTCTTCTCATGCTCCTCACCTGCTGCTGAGCTCAGAGGGCCCCACTATACATACCCTTGGAGAGTCCTTCAGCTTTTGCACACACAGGGGCCCCGACTGCCCACCTATATGGTTCCTTCAAGTGTAAGTGTTATAGTTTCTAAGGGGGTTAGGCAGGAGCATGGCCCTCTCCCTTTAACAGGCTCCCCTGCAGGACCACCACTCCCAGTTTTGGGTTCCCATTTCTAGACCATCGCCTGCAGGCTGGATCACATACCTTTCTCTTTACCCACATGCATGCCCCACTCCTTCTGTGAGCTGTAGGTGTCAATGGCCTCCAGTGCACTCTGGGGGTCTCCAGGCTTGGCATGCTGCTGCACGTAGTGCAGGATGCGCTGCTCCTTTGTGTCGCCCATGAGCAGGTTAAGGACTGGCTGCTGCACGTACTCAAACCAGAAGATAGCTATCAAGCCCCAGCCCAGGTGCCGCAGGTACAGAAGAGCCACCAACAGGAGAGCCAATGAGATGGCAACCAATAGCATCTGCAGGGCAGGAACAGGGTAGACAGATTTATGTGGCCTGTGCCCTTCCTGCCTCACCCATCCCGTACTTAACTCAGTACACCATTGGTCCCTGTGATAAAGGAGGGCCAATGTTCGGAGCATACGCCCACATGACTCACTGGGTCAGAGCCAGGAGAGACTTGCACCCCACCCACTGCAGCCTGCTGGTGGCCACACATGTGCCTCCTGGAGTCCTGTGTGGTGCCAAGCCTGGGTGCTTTCTCGATGGAGGAGGTGCCTCTCACACTGAACTGGCATTCTGACTGTTCAGGCTGAAAGAGGAAGAGTGGGTGCGGGATAGGCCACATGACCTGTCCGTTCCTACATTCAGCAGAACGTGAAGATTTCTTAGCGGGGATCTTCTAGTACCAAGACAGAAAAATAGCCCTCATCAAGCAGAGACTGTTAATGGAGCTGGGGACCTGAATAAATGATCTCATTTTGCAGCTTACTTTACAGCCCCATAGATTACTAAGTGGCATCCCTAGAATTCACCAGCCTACTCGAGATCTATGCATTCCATTTTTCCCTACAAAATTTTCTTTGCCTCAGAAGCAGGAAAGCTGTGACTCCTTGTTTTATATTTCGTTTTGGTTGTGGGTGAAACCTTGTGTGTGCGAAACAAGCATTCTACCACTAACCTACATTATCAGCCTGTTTTCTTGAGCCAGGCTATATACTCCAGACTGGTCTTGAACTCATATCCTCCTGAGGGCTGGGGGTGTGTACCACCATGTCCAGTGTTTTGGCCATTTCTCTGAACCACATCTTGTAGAAATCTCCAGGGCTGTGCAAAATTAATACAATATGTGTGCTCTTCTCTTGCCATTCAGCCTTGTATTGACTGATTCACTTGGCTCAAGACTGACCAAGGAACTGAGATATCGGAATCGATTGAAGTAGGGGACAGCTCCAGATCCTCTAAAGCATGTCAAGGGCCGGGTGAGCTCCACAGTACAGCGTTTGTCTGACATGTAAGGCCCTGAGTTCTGTCCCCAGCACAGGTGAGTGTGAGTGAATGCACCCACATACACTCACCTTCTGGCAAGAGCTGGGGAGAGGAGCCCAGGATCTAATTGACAAAACTCAGTGGATTCCCATGGCTGACACTGAGCAGAGTTCACTAAGTTCACAGCACAAGCTCGTGACTCATACCAGAGACCCTCAACAGAAAGACACAAGAAAGAGAAACCAGAGAAACTTCCACCGAACACTCTGGCCATTTATAGTTCCAGAGCAGGCACTGGTGACTACATAGACCCTGATCTCGGCTGGGAAGGCTTGTGGAAGAGTCTTAGGAGGTAGGCCCAAGTCTTTGGTGTAATCCTGCTTCAGGACAGTCTCAGGAGAGAGCGAAGAGCTGAGGATTCGCAGCCCACACATACTCACGTCATTTATTTCCACAAAGCAGGGTGCTCATGCTTGTGACTCTGCACGCCCACATGCTGGGTCGGAACCCTCATACCCACCCACAGGCTTCCATCAGTCAGGTGATCTCACATCCAAGCTCTTGCCCTCACGATCTACTTTTGTAGAACTGGGCAGACATGGAAGTTGCATGGTATGCTGAGGAACTCAATTCGACCTTTTGTCTATTTTTGACAGAAACTGACCTAGAACTGTTCCAGCACCTTTCCAGACTCAGAGAGTACGGACATCTTAGAAGGCTCCTAAGCCAGGGACCCTGTTGTCATGTGTACCTGCATCTTGGGGGAAGCAGGAGAAAGCTACTTTGCTCAGGCTGTAGTTCCCACCATCACACACTGACAGCTAGAGAGCACACAGGTAAATCTGCAGGAAATTATCCGGGGGAGCAATGGCTCATGTGACCACTGTGCAGCTTACCAGAAATGGTCAAGAGTGGGTGCAGCAAAGTGGGAATAAGTACCAGAGCCAGCCTGAAGGCTGAAATCTGGGATCATGGGCTTCATGCACATGACACGGGCTTCATTTCACTCCTTTCTTGTGGCTTGGATTTCCTAACATGTGTTTGGGTGTCTTAGTTTATGCTATCCTTTATCATTATTAGAAGTAGCATTTGGGTGTTAAGACAATGAGCTATTTTGTTCTGTCATTTGTCTATCTGTCTATCTTCAATCATCCATCCTCTCCATCCAGCCATCTAAAATTCAGCTAGGGAGGTAGCACAGTAATACAGCCCCCCGACCCCCAAAGTCTGTCCCTTTCCTTGTGGAAATCCCCAGAGTGCAGGGCTCTGCTGCTCCTCAACAGCCCTCTCTGCTGTGTGCAGCTGTGGGGAGTCAGTGTAGCCGTGCCCACCTGGCCCTGGGAAAGGGGACAGGTTTGTATTTATTTATCTGACCACTGAAAGGCAACAGCCAAACTCAAGCAGTCAATTACTTTCTAGGGCTTTTGCAGAAACCAACCAATTTGCAAGTGAGGAAACCATTTGTGGCAGTGCACACCTGTAATCCCAACATACAGAGGCGGGTGGGCTACACTGCAGCCAGCACAGACTGTGCCTTCAACAGAACTGCAGTAGCTCCAGGGCTGCCTGCACAGCTCCATCGAGAGCTTTTTCCTTTCATCTGGAGTGTGTGGACCTACTGTGAGGTCTGAGCCCTACTGTGCAGACTCCTGGAAGAACTGTTCAGGAGTCTGGGCAGAGACCAGTCAGGCGTGGCCTCAGCAGGCTGCATATTCAGTTGATCTTCACTGACCATGAAGTGAGGGGACATGTAAGGAGCTGAGACAGAATGGAAGACTTGCTGCTGGTAAGACTGTCTACACGAATGCTGCTGATTCTCAGCACTACCCAGATCAGATCAGCAGTTTACTGATTTAATAACCTTTACCAGATATCCCAAGGGCATTTTATTTTTGGTAGAGAAATCCATGCTATTTATTGACTCTCTAGGGATCATGAATAGCCAAAATAATCTTTTTAAAAAAATTATTTATTTATTACTTATATAGTGTTCTATGTGCATGCCAGAAGAGGGGAGTAGATCGAACTACAGATGGTTGTGAGCCACCATGTGGTTGCTGGGAATTGAACTCAGGACCTTTGGAAGAACAGCCAGTGCTCTTAACCTCTGAGCCATCTCTCCAGCCCCCCAAAATAATCTTGAAAAAGAAAAGGGCTTAACTTCCCTATTTAAAACTAACTACAAGCTGGGTGATGGTGGTGCATGCTTTTAATCCCAGCACTCGGAAAGCAGAGGCAGGCAGATCTCTGAGTCTGAGGCCAGCCTGGCCTACAAAGCAAGTTCCAGGGCACCCAATGGTATGCAAAGAGGGGGGAAAATGTAACTACAAAACTATAGTAATTAAAACAGTTGGGTACTATGAAAATCTGTAATCCCAGCATTCAGGAGTTATGAGTTTGAGGCCAGCTTGGGCTATACTAGACTCTGTCTCAATCAGATCAATGTAAATAAAAATCAAAACTTAAAAACACCAAAAGTAAGAGGATTTAGGGCTGGGGTGCAGCTCTGTGGTGTCTAACATAACATGTTTTAAAAACTGGGGGCAAAACGAGAGGCAGTGGGGTGCAGTTCAGTTGGCAGAGTGTTTGCCTGGCATTCAGAAACCCTGGGTTCCAGCTCCATACCAGCTTAGCATGGCAGCACAACATTCAGGAGGTGAAGACAGGCCAGAAGTTCAAGATCATCCAAACATGTGAGTTAAAGGATAGCCTGGGAAACATAAGCTGCTGTTTCAAAAGATAGTAGACAACGATGATACAAAGTCTCTTAGTGAAGTATCTTAGCATCAGTTATAGTTACTGAGGAAATGCATAGCAAAGTTATTTCACCAACTGAAATGGCTTTTCTCTTGGATGGGACACCAGGGATTGTGCACAAGGCTTTACTGAGCTACACTGCCAGCCAGTTACTTTGAGACAAGTTTTAAGTTGCCTGGGCTGACCTTGGATGTACTCTAGCCCTGGCAAGCCTTGAATTTATAATCTTCCTGCCTCAAACTCCCACGTAGCTGGAATTACAGGCCTGAGTTTTTCTTTCCTGTTTTAAAGTAAGATAATAAAGTTGGTTAAAATATGAAAGAATTGTAACCCTTGCACTCTGCTAAGATGAACACCGGTGGAAACAATTTGATGATTCCTCAAGAGGCTATCCAAAGAATCACCACGTGACAATGCTGTGTAGCCACAGAGCTGAGAGCAGGGCCTCAGACACTTGTCTACTCTTGTTCCCAGCAGCGTGACTCATAGAAGCCCATTAGTGGAAGCAACCCCAAGGTTCTCTAAGCTGAAGAACTTCACAGTACAGTGTGTGCTGCTGGGGTGAAGGGGGGCCCCAACTCATGCTGCAGCACGGATGGGCCCTGCAAGCAAAATCGTCCAGACACAGAATAGAAAATACCACAGGAATCTACTCACAGGCTGGAAGCAGATTAGCCACTGAGACTGGGGGAGGGGAGGGAGAGGGGGAGAAGGGGAGGGAGAATTGTTCAATGGGTACAGAATTACAGTGAGGAATGATGAGAAAGTTCTGGGAAAAGTTACACAATATCACGAATGCCCTTTGTGGCCATCAAATGGCCAAGTTTAATATTTTAATCCAAAAGTTATTTACAAAAGTACCAGGGGGTAGACCAGAAAGGGATGTTAATCTTTTACTATGAGACCAGCAGAAAGGCTGTTTATGTTGACCAGCCTACTGAATCAACACACCAGTATCTTAACAAAGATTTTATCCCTACATAGACTCTAGCCAGTTCCTTTAAGTTTTTCTGGCCTAGACCTCCACCTTGGCTCAAACAGACTAGAAAGAAACCTGAATCTAGTTCCTAGATGGCTCCAGGTGACACACTTAGGCCCTTTCAGTGCCTGCCAGAGAAAACCCAAAGCTGCCACATAAATATTCTGTGTGCTACAGCAAACACCGAAGATAAAACTTGTGTCTCCCAACCTTGGCAACTAAACTGTGAGGGCCTGGCTGGACTTTCCATCTCCCCCCACGCGCGCCCCCTTCACTGTGCTGGGTAGTGCTACC